GGAAAAAAAAAAACCAACCAGTTCGTCGCCGTTGACGATGTAGAGGGCTAGCCGAAGATACGAAGTTGGTAGAACCAGTATCAGTAAAAAAACTATTAATAACTACATCTCATTTATTTTTCAGATTTTTCAACACTGCTTTTAAGTAGTGCCAAATATCGTTGGTACATTTAAAATTTCTTCGTGTTAACAATTGTAAAGTTTTTAAAATATCATTAAATTAAAAGTTAATGCTACAGTTAATTATTTCTTCTCAATGTCTAATTTCTACATTTTTTAAAGATGTATCTTGAAACAGCCAACGTTTCTATTGAAGAACTCCTAAGTTTGGAAGAAAAATTCTAAATATTTACATCCGGAAAGAAGAATAGATTCAATATTGTGAAGTAATTACTTCCAAGCAATGCAGATATAACTTTTTATGCATTTCATTGTAGTAATTAATATAAACGAATTATTTTGTACGTTAACATTCAAGTTAATATTTTGTATTTCGTAGATTTTCTGTATCAAAGTTCGANTTGTGAATTAATTACTTCCAAGCAATGCAGATATAACTTTTTATGCATTTCATTGTAGTAATTATTATAAACGAATTATTTTGTACGTTAACATTCAAGTTAATATTTTGTATTTCGTAGATTTTCTGTATCAAAGTTCGAAAAAGATATCCGGAAAAATTGTGGCAAAGAATTCTGTTGAAAGTCATACTTTGAAATTTATAGGAAGATTTACACAGTAGAAAAGCCGTGCTGTTGCCAGTTATAAGTAAAAACCGGATTTTCCTTAGTTATTCCGGAAAGAAATCTTTTACCTTTAACCATTGCAAACGAAGATTTACACAAAAGATCAATCTATTAAGACATCTTCGAATTCACACCAGAGAGAAATCATATAAGTGCAATTATTATTAACAAAAGTTCGCTTACAAATACAATTTGAATTCTCACGTGACACGCCATAGCAGGGAGATTGTTGATTAATATAAATATTGTAAAAGTTTGAAATTTGAAAGAAACTTTGCTGTTTATTAATTTTCTACGACTTACAGTTTTTCTACCTGACAATATAACAAATTAAAAATTATAGTGTAAAACGAAACCAAATTTATTGCAACGGGACTCGAAACAACAACAATTTGAACATGAAACTGACGCGCCAAGACCACACCACATCACATCACAGGCCACATTGTCCACAACCTAAATCATAAAAGCTTTAAACGATTGTGAAATGACTTCAACGTCATGCTGTTACTCGTAAGCACGTAATGGTTCACTTATTTACATGCTAATTTCTTAGATACGTGAGATCACAATAAATACACGTATAAAGCCAGTTTTATTGTCGCATATACAGTATATACAATTAATTCAATTAAAAAATTAAGTGCTTTTGCAAAGAAGTGGTGACATTAAAGTCATGTGGCATCTGCAACCAATTACCGTGATGATTTCTTTCTACTTCTAAGCGCATGTTGCCTCCGTTCTTCGACGTCATACTCGAGAAGTCAGTACGAAAACGAGCCGAAGAAATGGCAGATCGAGAAGTACAGAGTCGGTAAGTATTGTTTTCTGTTTGTAGAGTCTCTATATGTATGGGCAAAAAAATCATTTTACCAGTTTTGCCATTGAGTATCACATGCTTTCTTTTTATAAAAAATCTGAGAAATAAAGCGATGCTGTGCTGCTATCGAGGGCTTAAAAAATAACGAGATAAATAACATAAGTTGATTTTCTGTCTGTTATTTGTACTTATTCATCACATATATTCACGTCAAATGAACATACTCTTATTAAATTTATATATATAAATTTTCTAAAATATTTAAACTAAAAGTATTTAATTAACAAAAGTTTCAATTTTCTTACTGGAGACAATGACTAAACAAAACCTCACAAAAAGCTTATTCCGTTGTGTACATAACCGTCTGTTTACAATGTTCGAACTCGAGAAATAGACTCTTTCACTTTTAAAGTTCAAAAGGTTAAACTAGCTTAAAATTTCTCTTCTCTTGTTGAAATTGTGTTTGGTCTTTAAAGTTTGAATTAATAAGCTGTGTTTAATTTTTAATGTACAAATGATTAATACTCATTTTTTATATAAAATTTAATTCGGGTAGCTCAGTGTTTGTGACATGTAAATCGCGGATCCCTCAGTTCCATCAACAAGTAAATAAGACATTGAGTTCTAAAATGTAAAAGTGCTATTTATTTTTTTAAGGCAGATGAACGAATAAATTAATTAATTACATTTTGTACAAAGATTTGATTAAAATTAATTTGATTCCAATAATTTTACAATATATTTTGTTGGTAATTATTTACATTAAGACCGTTAAGCATTTTCTTTTAACTCTGTTTTAAAGAAGAATTTTTAATAGACATTTCAAACACAACAAAAATGTTTTATTTAAGCAATAGATCTAGTACGTGTTAAAGCAGTTATTTGTTCAATAATCACAAGTTCCACATTAAATAACATTACAGATAAATTCACTTATAAGACCGGTCTACAAAGCGTGAGAAATCATGTTCAGAATAAATATAGAAATACGACAGTGTTACGTTATACACTCCTTTCCCTTGTAAGCGACAAAAAATCAAATGATGCCATTCGGCAAGGAAATAATAAAATGGATAATTGCAGAAAATCGAAGTTTAGAACTATCACTATCAGTTATAACAGTACAGTATACAATGACCTATACACATAGATTTTTAGAATATGACAGGTTATAGAAAAATCAATTATTGTTCGTGAAGAATTACAAAACATTTCCACAGGAATCTTGGATTATTTACATATAACAAAAACTGTACAGACAAGTTTTTGTTTTTTTTTAACTTTATTAAAAATTCTAGTCTGGGAGTGATAGAAGACGTATCGACAAATTAACAAAAGGGCCGTTGGTACTCGGTCAGAAACCATACATATACACAAAAATATTTACATTAGCAAAAGGTCACTTTAATATTAGTATTAACATCTATTGTTAATCAAATAATATCTCTCATCTATCATACAAAGTGTCTATTTTAAAATATTCAGAAATATCTTTATTCTATTAACAGGAATGTATATCATACTACTCCCCTCTTTAGTCTACTGAAAAACATATCCCGAAATACTTCACTATTCATAGAATAGAGATATCTTTTTTAAAAAAAAAAAAATGCAGCGTTTTCTGGTACGATAGCTCCTAGAAAATAAAACTTGAATTTTGATTGTTTCGCAATAATCAAGGTAATAATCTAATACAAAAATTTTAATATCTATTTTTCAAATATTAGTAATGCATTTATTGTTCATACACCATTGTCAGAAATACTACAACTACAGTACGGTACAACAGACATGTTTATTTGAAAGTATTGATAATAATAAATACCTTTTTGTTGTTTAGGGTTTATTCGGGTGAGATACGAATCCGAAACGAAAAANAAAATATTAGTCATGCATTTATTGTTCATACACCATTGTCAGAAATACTACAACTACAGTACGGTACAACAGACATGTTTATTTGAAAGTATTGATAATAATAAATACCTTTTTGTTGTTTAGGGTTTATTCGGGTGAGATACGAATCCGAAACGAAAAAAACGAAGAAATTATTATATCAGAAGCTCAGTTAAATAAAGTCCTGAACAGGCAATTAGAACATCATATTACATATTTTGAAAATTCAAAAGTACTGTTTATGCCTTATCCAATCGAGACCATCAGACAATTCGTTACGTAAGTTTTTCACGATACTTTCCTTTTATCCAATTGTAATACTTTCAAAAGTACTGTTTATGCCTTATCCAATCGAGATCATCAAATTATTCGTTACGTAAGTTTTTCACGATACTTACCTTTCATTTAATTTCAATATGTAATACTTTCTAATAAATTATAATTTATATTTTTTAAACAGTTATGTACAGACGGACGATCCCGGATTGACCTCTTATAAACACGCTTTCGATCTTTATCATCTGAGTTTAAGATACGAGTTAGAGAACTTAAGACTGAAATGCAGATCATTTATCATTCGGAAAATAAACCTGCATACCGTCTGTTCAATCCACGATTTTGCACGTGAGATCGGTGATGTGGTCATAACTTATTATTGCTGGCTAGCTTTCGACGAACACGGAGAAGTACTATTTACAACAGTCGACTTTATATGCTGTAAAATTGCAACAATTGATAGACTGCTATCTCGAGCGATATATGAATCTGTCAGTGAATTGCGTTTACTCCGAGCCGTGTATCAGTGGAGCATAGAAGAAGTTAAAAGAAAACAGGGTGAATACAGATTCCTTTCGATAAGTAAAGAATCGGAAAGGAATGCAATTAGAAGTGTTATGAAGCCATTTATTGGAAAAGTCAGATTTCTTGCCATGAATGAAGACGAATTGCAATCCTCTGTTTTTATAATGAACTTGTTAGACGTGTTAGAAAAGATTCATATCTGGCATGCTTTTAAGTATGGTAATTATACCTTTTATCCCAGTTACTTTAGTCGAGAAACAAAAACCAGAAGTAAAATAAATTATTTTAACTTGTTCTCGTACATAAATGTTGGAAATTCTTTTGTGGTCGCAAACAGAAAGATGGAAGGTTACATATATTTTAGCAGCGAAGTAGTTGTGAGGGAAGATTGTTTCGTTACGACTCTTCGATTTCCTGTGAAGCTTGGCGAAAGTTTTTCAATGTACGTACACGCGTATATTAACAATGTGGACAACGGGCAGTTTTCGTTCGAGACCGTTTGCAATTCAGAGGGAGTAGCAGATTTGCAAACGAAGTTGTATCTAGAAAAATATTGGAAAATTCGTTTCTTTGCTTTCTTTTTTCACGCTGATAATGTTCAACCCAGCATCGAGTTTTCACCTAAACTGAGTTACTTTGTGAGCGACGAAGGAACAGATGCCAGGAAATTTGAAGACAAATTCCTAACCTGTGACAGAACAATTATGAATAATATTTATTTTTATGTTGATTTATATTTTTGAAGTCAAAAGTTTCTCTGATAAAAAGCGAAATCTGAACGAGAATATAATGTAAAGCTAAATTCGAATATGATTATTTTTTACTGTATCGCATTTGATTAAACAAAATATAAAATGTAGTAATAAAAATTCTCTTATGTATTTTTATGTAAATTTTAGATTGAGATAATAAATTTTCAATTTATAAATCTTGCATTTTTAACGTTATATTGAATTATTTTAACAGAAATTTTTATATTTAAATTAATATTTTTCCTCTGATTTAAAATTCATGTTAATTACCTGAGGTTACTCAATTATCTCCAACTCAATTTTCTAAAAAATGAACCACTTAATTTTGTATTATTTAATATCAAATTCTTAAGTAATATATCAATATAAATATTAAAACAGCTGTAAATCACTTTCTCAAAAATATGCAATTGCACAGAGCATGATTACGTTGGTGTCTCGGCTAAGAAAAACCCAAAATTTAATATTTGTATAAAGCGCGCAATATAAATTTAATATAAATTAACCGATTTGTAAAATGTTTTCAATTGTTTTGTTTAAATCATACATATTTATGGTTTTCTGGGAGAGGTAAAGGGCTGCTTTACTTTTAACACTCCTTTTCAGAGAAGCGAATAAGTGGACCTCTTTTTTCATATCCATTATACAACAACCGTATAGCTAAAAACGGGACCCTACACGTTAATTTTTCTTAGTCAATTAACTTCTTTACCATTTTATATATTGTTATAGAACCGTGATGACACTCGTGTCAGAGGTAACACGCGAACTCATTTTTGGTGAAACGCATCGACTGAGACCAAAATTTGAATAATTTAAATATTTGTCATATAATTTTTTCTTTTTCAACAATAAACCTAAAACTTATTTCTTGATTAAGATATTTAAGCTCATATTCATTTAAATAATAATCAGAATAAGTTGAAATTTTATAATGGTTGGACTCAAACTTTCCTCAGATCAATGATTCATAAGTGGGTCAGCAATTTAATGTTTTTTTTTACACAGGTCTTCGTTCATATGAATAAACTGAACGTAAAATTACAAGGTTTTGGCAAAAGTATTGATGTTATGTTTGGATACATCAAATCTTTTGAAAGTAAACTTAAAACGCGAGATATTGAAACTAAAACTAATAATTATTTTCCTCGAATAAAAAAGTATTTTGAAAAAACCAATAAAACGAGTTTAATGGTGTCCATACTTATGTACCAGAATATAGTAAACTCGTTAATTGAAAAGTTTAGCGAAAGATTCAACCAATTAGGAGTCTAGAACAGACCATTAATATAATTATGTATCCGGATGTAGTTGTTTACAGTTCTTTGGAATTAAAAGATTTCCAATGAATGCAAATAGAAAATTTAGAGATGCAACATGCAGATTTTCAAGATAGCATTTGGGCTCATGTGTTTCTCGACTTAACATCGAAACTTGAAAATCTGGAACGTAATCGTTCGAATAATGAAGAAGAGTGCAACTACGAACAAGAAATTTTCAGTGCATGGAACAGAATGTCTGACACTTTTAGCGATATAAAAAATACTGGCGATGGGTTTGCTAACTATTTTTTATCAACATATTTTTGTGAGACTTTGTTCTCAGCATTAAATAATATTAAAACGAACAAAGAAACCGGATAACAGATGATTTTAGTAGTGCTTGCTTAGCATTGAATTACATTAAGTATAAACCTGCAATCGAAGAATTAGCAGACAAACTTCAGTACCAAAAAAAGTCACTAATTTTTTCTACAATTTCTAGTTTCTGTACCATTTATATATCATTATTATTTTTTCCTAAATGTGTGTTGACTTTTGTTTTTGTTTATTTTATACATATTATTTAGTTAATTTTTTTTGTTGTTAAATTGCATTTAAATATATAAAATAAATATCAAACATATAATTTTTTTTTACTATAGTTGCAAATATCAAAAAATTATGAATATTTTTAGGTGACCCGGCACCAAACTTAAGTTGGATTTTTTAAAATTTTCACACGCCGAGCTCAAAAGGTTCGTCATCACTGGTATAGAAGACAGTAATTTCATTATCAACAGTTTTTGCATTAATTTTTATGGTTTAAAGCTTGTATTAAAAAAATGCATGATTTTGAAAGTCGTTTAATTTTCTGTACTAATTTCTACACTAAAATGTATAAGAATAATTTTTCCTCAATTCTTACCTCGTTATTTTCCTTTTTTCTTTATCTCCTTCAACAATATCCTGCAACAATAATTCATAAATTAGAAATAAAAACAAAATTATAGCCGTAATAAATTCAATTGTAAGAAATTCTGTAAAGGAAATTTTCTTTATATGTCCATCTTAAAAATCATCAAGTGCCATTCAGGCAGACTCATCTTAGATGCGACTAATGGAAAAGAATAGAACTCGACATATTCTTATGAAAATCGGCAACCAAAATTTTCTGTAAATCTTCGACTGTCTGAGTGCCTCGAAACTGTTACTTCTGCGAACCGCTCATATTCATATTCATAATATTATACTTACCACAATAAACACAGGAGCTTGGTCAAGTGTACCTGCAATTACATCCTAAAAATTCAAATTTATAAATTTACTAACTTACTTCGCGTTACTTGGAATTATAAAAGAAAAGTTTAAAACATAATAAATTATTAATTTTACGAAAATTGTGTTTAAAAAGAAAAATATTCGAGTCCTTAGATGTAGTAATTTGACTTTAATATCAGAAACGGAAAAACAATACTTTTCACAGTATAACCTGGAAATGTAAAGTTGCTTTTAGGAAGTCTTCAAAGTACATTAATTAATTAATATTTGATCCATATTGAATAGGTTGTAACGGCCCAGTTTATGACTCGTTTTATGAACATTATCAGTATGTCTAAAACTACGTAGGAATAATGCCCTTGGAAAAAGCGAGTTTAATAATAAGAAAGTACCATTTAGAAACGAAATTACCCGAGTTGTTCGATATGAAAAATTAATTACTTATATTGTTTGTATGGTGTAACACTTTCTACCCAGGCAGGTGAGTGTTATTTACTAATGATGCAGTAATATAGTTATAAGAGATTTTATTAGTTAAGAATCGGTAATATTTGGTGCTAAGTTTTCACTAATTAACTATTTTAATTTCGTATTTCCTAGGACAGTTTAACCTGAAATGTTTCAAAGTAAATATTCGTTTATAATTGGAATTACGTAAGATATGTTTTTTATTTTATTCGCTAATGTAGTAAATATATTAAAAAAATTTATTAAATTTAGTGAATATTTACTAAATATAAAGCAGAGAGTAAACTAAAGTTTCCTTGTTTTCCATACATCATCCTCAAACATAACAGAAACGTTCTAATTTATGTTATGGCTGTGTCGTAAGATTATTTTTGTGTTAAAGAAGAAATATGCCATTCGTGTTAACTAATCTAAAATACTCTGAGGGTGACATCACTTAGTTTTCAATCAGTAAAAGGTGTATTAATAACTGCATCTTATTTTTCAGATTTTTTAATACTGGCAAATATCGTTTGTACATATAAAATTTCTTCGTGTTAACAATTGTAAAGTTTTTAAAATATCATTAAATTGAAAATTATTGCTACAGTTAATTATTTATTCTGGATGTTTAATTTCTACATTTTTTCTTTAAGGAGGCAGTTAACATTTCTCTTGAAGAATTTACTCCAAAAATTACAAGTTTGAAGGAATGGATTAAATATTTACATTTGAAAAAGAAACGGATTTGATATTGTGAAGTAATTACTTCCAAGCTATGCAGGAGTAACTTTTTATGCATTTCATTGTAATAATTAATATTAACGAATTATTTTGTACGTAAACATTTCAGTTAATATTTTGTATTTCGTAGATTTTCTGTATCGAAGTTCAAAAAGAGGAAGATTTCTGTGTGCAAAGAATTGTGGCAAAGAATTCTGTTGGAAGTCACACTTTGAAATTCATAGGAGAATTCACACAGGAGAAAAGCCGTTTTGTTGCCAATTATGCGGTAAGACCGAATTTTTCGCAGTTATTCACGAGAGATATCTTTTACCTGCAACCACTGCAAACGGAGATTTACACAAAAGATCAATCTAGAAAAACATCTTCGAATTCAAACGGGAGAGAAACCATATAACTGCAATTATTATTTACAAAAGTTCGCTTACAAATACAGTTTGAATTCTCACATAAAACGCTTTAGCAAAGAGATTATTAATTAATATAGGATAAATATTGTAAAAGTTTGAAGTTTGAAAGGAACTTTGCTGTTTATTAATTTTCTACTACTTAGTTTTTCTATCCGACAATATGACAAATTGAAAAATTATAGTGTAAAACGAAACCAAGTTTACTCCAACGGGACTCGAAACAACAACCATGTTAACACGAAACTAACGCTTCCAGACCAAACCACCCGCCACGTTGTCCGCAATACAAATTATAAAAGCTTTAATTGATTGTGAAGTGACTTCAACGTCATACTGTTACTCGTAAGCAAGTAATGGACCACTTAGTTATATGCTAATTTCTTAAATACGTATACGTGAGATCGTAATAAATACATGTATAAGGCCAGTTTTAATGTCGGATATACAGAATATACAAGTAATGCAATTAAAAAATTAAATGCTGCAGCGGAGTGGCGGTGACGTCAAAGTCATGTGGCATCTGCAGCCAATTACTGTGATTATTCATTTTTACTTCTAAGCGCGTGTTGTCTCCGTTTTTCGATGTCATACTCGAGAGTCCAGTACGGAAAAGAACCGAAGAAATGGAAGATCGAGAGGTGCAGAGTCTGTAAGTAGTTGTATTGTTTTCTGTGTATAGCGTTTCTAGATGTGTGGGCGCAAAATAATTTTACGTGTTTTACTATTGATTATCGTATGTGTCTCTTTTATAAAAAATTTAAGATAGAAAGCGATGCTGTGCTGCTATCGCGAGCTTAAAAAAATAACGTGATAAATAACATAAGTTGATTTTCTGTCTGTTATTTGTACTTATTTCATCACATATGTTCGCCTCAAAGGAACATACTCTTACTGAATTT